CTAGACACGACTGAACAACTGAGTCACTGCGAACACGCCGACAATCCAGTTGGTCCCAGACAGCACCCTCCCTACACGCCACAACTGAACAAAGCCCAGAGTCACCGTGAACGAACAAACAAACAAAACCACTCACCCATCACACTGTTGGGTTTCCTTTAAAGTCCGGTGCGATTTATTTGTGAAAAAAGTTCAAAAATAGACCATTTAATGACAGTGCACCTTATAATCCAGAGCGACTAATAGTGCGGAAAATACGGTAAATATAGAACTTGCAGAACAGCTGGATGGAGCCATGGAGATGTTACACAGTATAGCATTAAATTTAATTAAATACATTTTTTCTTCTTGGAGACAAACAGGAGACATCATCAAGTCAAGTTACAAGTCAGATCTTTGACTCGCAATAAAAGTTCATTTCAGTGTATTTTCTTCAGGGATACAGACACTGGTAGTTCATATCAGTGCCGATCCAGGAAAATTTGCCCAAATCGGATACTGGTTCCAAGATATCCCGATGCCCTGGTTGGGTTTTCAACTGGACGGAAGAACTTTTATTCATGCAACGCTCTACAACATTTACTTGATGGATAAATAATAACTGTCTCAATTTTGTAGTAAGTTAACTGTGTTTTGATGAAAATAACATTCGTTTTTCAGTCCCTATGCAAGTATCGGTTAATATAAAATAAGGCTGGTTATCATTAAAAAGTTGCCAATACGATACATACATCGATACATATCTCGATACAGTGCAACTTCGGTTCAATACGATATATTTCAAATCGATTCGAGGCAGTTCAATAAAAATAATGGCTAAATCATGTCTGTGACACTACTCGTTAAACCACTTCTTGTGCAAATTTCATATGAAACACAAACATTTTAATCATCAAAACAGTGAAAATGTCAAATGTGTCACATAAACGAGTTTCAATTCCCCAAAAAAGCAACAAAACTGTAGCACTGTAACAAAATAATTTAGTAAAATAAACCAAAAAAATAATACTCTTGTTGATATATCGATACATATTTCTGCACACCCCTAATTAAGACATAACACAGGCCACGATACATATCTCGACACAGTGACCTTGATTTGATTCGATACGATATATTTCAAAACTATTCGATATGATTCAATAAAAAATAAAGGTTAAATTATGACTGTGATACTAAAAGTCTTTGTTCAACCACTCCTTGTGTAAAGTTCATATGAAACACACCTGTTTGAATCATTAAAACAGTGAAAATGTCAAATTTGTTGCATAAATTAGTTTCCTTCCACTGAACAAACAACAAAACTGTAGCTGTAACAAAATAATTTAGTTAAATAAACCAAAAAATACTGATATATCGATACAACAGCCCACGATATCGATCCTGTATCATCATATATATCGACATTTCAATATTTTTGCTCCTCTAATATCAAATATCAAAAGATCCCAAAAGCCAAAGTATCGATATTGGAATCAGAACTGAAAAACCTGGATCGGTGCATTCACATTTCCTTTGTTATAAAAATTACTGCTATATATACAAGTTTAAGGCCATTCTGAGGAATATTCCAGAAGAAACAACATATTCACTGAGACAAGCAGGAAAGGACTTTGCCAGAAAAGTTACACAGTGCCCCTTTAAACAAGTACTGATTGTAAATGTAGTTGTTTCTTTAAAAATAATCAAAGTACAGATATTTGTGGTTCTTTCATAGTAACAGGAAGCAGGGGTGGGTCGTATCTGATTTCCTCGTACCATTCTTCCTACTACAGTAAAGCCACTCCTCCATTGAGACGTCACAAAAGATAAACATTTCAGTAATCCTCAATGAGTCAGAGCCATGTGTCGGACCACATGGAGAACGAGGCGGCATGGTCAAGCTAAAACACAATACAGCTACAAGTTTATAACAATAATTTAGTAAACACTGAGTTAAAGGATGTTAGAGACTCGTTAGGAGCACAGAATAAAATAGAAAAACAAAAATACTGTTTTCTTACTGTCAGGCAGTGTTTTTTTTTTTCTTTTTTTTTTTGGTAATTTCACTCATTGCCGGAAACTAGACCAGGTCTAAACCAGGACTAAAACCAGGTCTAAACTAGATCTAAACTAGACCTGAAGCAGGTCTAAACCAGGTCTAAAATAAGGTCTAAACCAGGTCTAAAACCAGGTCTAAACCACAACTAAACCAGGGCTAAACCAGGTTTTAACAGGACTAAACCAGGACTAACCCATGCTGTGCGGACCGTGTCTCCTCGTCTTCTATCAATAATATTTTTAATTTGGTTCAGTAAAGTCTGGGCTTTTTATTTTCTTTCATCTGACAAAACATCTTATGTGAAGATTTCCTCGTCTTTGCTTCTCTACAGCAAATCAAGTAATCCAAAGTATTCAGATTACATTACTCACTTTAAGTAATTTAATGGATTACGTTACAAACTACATTTTGGGGTTTGTAATCTGTAATCTGTAGGGGATTACATTTTAAAAGTCACCTTCACAACACTGCTGTCAGGGTATCCCCAGGTTTGAATACCCCAAATTTAAGACTTTAAGACCTTTTTAAGACCAATTAAATGAAAATTACAATCAACATGGCACCTATTATAATGACCAAACAAGTACCGGTGTGGTGTAGGATTTTGACCCTGCGGTGAGGCGACCCCGGGGTCAACATACCATATATTATTTTAACCCCGGGGTCAGAAACCTATTATGGTATGTTGACCCTCCCCTATGAAAATAAATATATTTTATTAATAAACAACTTGAATTCTATAGAAAAACTTCGAATATTAATACTATATCTGCACATTAAAACATACTGATATACATATATAAACATACATATTTAAACATGTTTTTTGAAGAACTCAAATGCATTTTTATGCTGATTATAACTTTTGAATGTTAAAAACTTAGTTGTTTAAACACATATTTTACTGAAAATGAGATAAGTAGTTATTAATTCATTAGATAATCAAAGTGATGTGTAATGATTTGGAATCTTGTAAAAACAGACAGGGCTGATCAATTGAGTAAAATAACAATAACTATAGTAATCTGACCCCCCAATATGTTTATTATTATAGTTATGATGATGTAAAGTAAGAAGTAATGTTAGTTGAATATTGACAATTATCAATTATATATAAAGGAGGTCAAAAACCTATGGCCATAGTAATCTGACCCTCCGATATGTTTATTGTAACACAACATGACTAAATTCAAGGTCATTATCCTTACAAACCATTGCCTAAACTGACATTATGATTAAGGACTATCTGAACATAGAATCTAAAAACCATAACAATGTCAAATACAATGTAAAAAGTGACAAGATTGCTATGTATATGCAATTTTAACACATAATACATTACATTTACACAAAATACCAAGTCGTTATCCATCAAAACATTCCTTAAAATACCTTAAAAGAAAGTGAATATGTAGTAATATATAATAAAAGTAAATTACATGAGAAAAAATGATCAGATAAGTAACTACTAAAGAAAAAAGTAAGGGGGGGTGTCTCTTTACTACAGCGGTATTTTGCCCCCGGGGTCAAAATACTATCTCACACCGGTACTATATCTAGAATCTAAGAGCCACTGCGGATAAAACAAACACTTCCCCATGATCCATCCCAACGTCTTCCTCCACTCTACTGATTGGTTTACTCATTGCCGCTGGCGCCAGAAACAAAAGTATTGCTGTTGTTGTGTTTTTGTTCCCTCCCTCTGTTTAACATCACGCTGCAGCCCGGTTGAGAATCCAAAAAAAGAAATTTAAGACCTTTGTGAACAAAATAAAGACTTGAACAGCATAATTTAAGACTTTCGAAGACCTTAATTTAGTAACATGGAATTTAAGACCTTTTTAAGAAGAAAATACGAAAATAATTCAATCTTATACAGCTGAAACTAATGATTATTTTATCAGAAAGATTAGACTTAGTGCCGTCTTTACAATAAAATCTATTTCCTAGTAAACAGCACGTGTTTTGTTTGAATTTGCTTTGATTCAGACAGTCAAATAGCCATGATTACTCCACTTGCTCCAATTGGAAACTTGGCTAGGGTGACCAGTCCTGTCCGGCCTTATTGATCCTAAGCCACGGATTTGTCCCGGTTTTCTACCAGAAATGTCCCTGTTTTTGCCCAATCTGATCCCCCGCCGACAGTAAACAGAGGCATACATTGTCATTTGTTTAGGTAAAATACAGAAAAGCTTCTTAAAAACGATCAAAACAAAAAAAAAAACGTGACTATACTGACTCATGTGTTAGACACGAATGGTCTCTGCTGAACAATTCTAATCATCACGCACTCGTTTCACAATTTTATTATTACAAACCAAATAAGCATTAAAGGGGATGCTAGAGGCACCATGGAGCACATGCTCTGCGGAAAAAAAGCGCGTAAACTGGCGCAACTGTGACAATACCGCGCGCGAAAATGCGGTATGAATTCAACTTGGCTATGGACCATGGAATCCCGATTCTACGCGTCTAAAATGGGTATATGCACGTGTTAATTTCCATGCACATACCCATTATAACAGAATATAACAGAATAAAATGTGCACATGAAGTCAGAAAGCTTTTTTGCCAGTTTTATAAATATGGAAACTGATGCATACATGTTAAAAACTATAAAAAATATTGTCTGTTTTGTGCATTGGGATGATGTTTAATGAAGGTTGCCAGCTATAAAAACACAGAATATCACATTTTAGTTCTGTTCGTAGCTTTGACAGCAATGGGGAATGTACTTATAATGACATTTTTCACTATATAAGCTCAAATACGCATCGTTGGAAGGCTCGGGTTTATATACGATGCGAATACGCTGTGAAACGTGAAAAGGGCGTAAATCGGCGTGTTTTCGACATAAAAATGGTGACAAAACAGGTGTCGTTAGCGGAGCATCCTTCCTAATCTAGTATAGCATAGCCGAATTAACATTGCCAACGCTAGCTCCACGTATACGACTCACCTTGACGAATGTACGATGCTCTTGGTCACAGTAAACGCATAATGTCCCCGCGGTGACGCCGGACAGCCTTCGGGGTACGGGATGGTCCGAAAAGATGCGAAAGGTGAATGATTAGCCCGATTATTCGCGCACACACGTGGCTGAAACAACACAGGAGTGAGCGAGAGATGGAAGGGAAGCTGCTTTTTTGTGAAACGTGACGAGGCCGTGACGTCAGCGCGTCAAAGGGAAGCAGATCGGGCAGACGCTAAAGGTGATGCTAGCCCCGAATAAGAGTGAAGTGAGCGCGTAAAGTGAGACGGATCGGGCAGATGCTAAAGGTGCTAAATTGTTTATTTTTTTTATTTTATTTTATTTTTTGGTACGCATTGTCTGCCTCAATTTAAGTTTACATGTATGTCAACTTTAATAAAAAATAACAATAATAATAATAATAATAATAATAATAATAAATTAAAAAAGTGAAGCGAGTGAGTAAAGTGAGACAGATCGGACAGATGCTAAAGGTGCTAAAGTCATACATATATATTTTTTTATTAATTAATTTATTTATTTTTGGTGCACATTGTCTGTCTCAATTTAAGTTTACATATATGTCAACTTTAATAAAAAATAATAATAGATAAAAAAAATTTAATTAATTAATAAAAAAAACAGTGAAGTGAGCGAGTAAAATTACACAGATCGGGCAGATGCTAAAGGTGCTAAAGTCATTATATTGATTATTATTATTTATTTATTTATTTTTTGGTACGCATTGTCTGCCTCAATTTAAGTTTACATGTATGTCAACTTTAATTAAAAATAACAATAATAATAATAATAATAATAATAATAATAATAATAATAATAATAATAATAATAATAATAAAAAAAGTGAAGAGAGCGCGTAAAGTGGGACAGATCGGGCAGATGCTAAAGGTGCTAAAGTAATTTGGACTGCTCAAGCGTAATAACCCTTTTCCGTCATAAGCAATATATTGCTAACATTAAATCTATTAAAATTATAGAAGAATCAGTTTCTTATATTTATTTATTTGTTGTTGTTTTTTTGGTACGCATTGTCTGCCTCAATTTAAGTTTATATGTATGGCAACTTTAATTAAAAGTTTTTATCTATTAATAATAAATAAAAATAAAAATAAATAAATAAAAATACTTTTTATAGGAGACACAACTTTTCATTGTTCTGAAATCCAGACATAACTGGTGAGTTACACAGCACAGTACTTATTTGTGTATTTATGTAAATTTATTTTTTATTTATTTTTTTTTTAATAGAGTACACAATAAAAATAAATAAATACAAGACTTAAATTGCCCATCATGTGCTTTGTAATTTTTTCTATTTCCATTTTATGTCCATTTTGCATAGGAGACTGATACAGGCCTATCTGTGCATTCATGGATTTTATATTTTATCTTAACCAACCAAGCATAACTTTTTGGTTTTATAACTCCTGTCTGAAAATGTCATGACCAATAGCCTGCATAGTGTGGAAAAAAAAAAAGTATGTCCAAAGACTTCGACGGGACAAGACAAAATTTTTACGAGACGAGATACGAGATTGAGTCCATGAGAACGAGACAAGACCAGATTTTAACACATTTCCTAATACATAAATTCATTTTTTTGTTTCCATTCTAATACTTTTTGGAACTATAAGAGATCTAATACCAATATACCAATACTTAATACCAATACTTGACCCTTTTTGTCCAATCCAAATGTAACACAAAACCAAAAAATCTCGTCATTTTGTCTCACGAGATGTTGTGGCGTGAGATCTTGTACCATACCATTAGTTTCCCATGAATTACGAGCAAATACATTTTATCTTAACAGCGTTTTTAACCTGTTTTTGCCCTCAAAACAATCACTTTATTATTATTATACTAATTGTGAGCACATTTGTAATTGTAAATAAACTACAAAAAGAATCAATTTGACATTAAAAATTAAAAAATGTTGCTGTGGGATGTGTACAAAACAAATACGAACATATGGAAGTGAGTAAAATGTAAGTTAAGTGATGGTTTATTCATGCATTTATTTTTACATCATCGTTTAAAATGTTGAAAATTACTAGTATAAGAACAATAACAAACCTCACTGAACTTACGTGATTTTTTTGTTTTGTTTTCTTCCATTTTTATTCATACCAAAAACAATATACCGGTTTTTATTTATACCAAAAAATCCATAAATCAATACAAATTTATTTATAACATACCACGATACAGAACATAATGTCAAAATAATATTTAAATAAATAATAAATAATACACTGATTTTTTATTTATTATTTTACAACCAACTACACAAGAAGAAAAACTCAAACACACTTAATTCTGTTAAATTATTGATATTTCCTGTAGTTTTTTTTTGTTTTTAATCTGTTTTATTGTCTGTAAATATTGTTGTATTTCGTTATTATAGTGGAGAATATTTGGTTTATGATCTGATAAAGTGGAGTGACTGGTTAAGTTAGTGTGCAGCGCCCTCTGCTGTCTTCTGTGGGAAATGCAGACAGAGGAACAACTAAATAAACCTTAAAAGCAAGTCAGACGAGTTTAAACAGGCTACGTTTGTGAAGTCTGAGCATTATTGTGCCAAATACAAAGCAGAAAAATAAATTAATTAAAAGCCTTTAACACCACATGGTAGATAAAGTCAAAATTGCTGTAATTTTAACTTGTTAATTTGAATTATTTTGTATTTTTTGAGTGCCTCAGCTTTTTCTGCTTTGCATTTTAGACTTGTCCCTCACTAAGAGCAACAAAAGGACAATTTTCCACAGTCTCTACACATCCGAGTTGTGTATTATTGTGCCAAATTGTGAAAAAAAAAGAAAAAGTTTAAATGATAACCACTCTGAAACATGTCAGTGATACCCGAGCTCAGTTTAAGAACATTTACAATTGTGTTTATTGCCTTGTAGCCTATTTGTTTAGGCCTATTCAAATATGGAGATGGTGATTCCAGACAGAAATTTGAATGAAGCCACAGAAAATGTCCTGTAATAGTTTTTTATTTGTTCTGTTCAAACACAATTTACACTGCACACGCACAGGTTTGGTGTGTTTAATCTATAGATGATCAAATAAACTGACATTTCTAATTCATTTTCTTTTTCTGATGTTGGTTAGTTAGGCGGTCCTGGTTTTAGTCCGTTGTAGTCCTTGGTTAGTCCTGCTTTTAGTCCTGGTTTAGTTCTGGTTTAGTTGGTTTAGTCCTGTTTTTAGTCCTAGTTTAAACCTGGTTTAGACCTGCTTCAGTCCTGTTTTAGTCCTAGTTTAGACCTGGTTTTAGACCTGGTTTAACCTGGTTTAGACCTGGTTTAGTTCTGGTTTAGTCCTGGTTTTAGTTCTAGTTTAGTCCTGGTTTTAGTTTTGGTTTTAGTCCTGGTTTAGTTCTGGTTTAGTTCTAGTTTAGTTCTGGTTTAGTCCTGGTTTTAGTCCTTGTTTAGTCTTGGTTTAGTCCTGCTTTTAGTCCTGGTTTAGTCCTGGTTTTAGTCCTGGTTTTAGTCCTGGTTTAGTTCTGGTTTAGTCCTGCTTTTAGTCCTGGTTTTAGTCCTGGTTTAGTTCTGGTTTAGTCCTGGTTTAGTTCTGGTTTATTTCTGGTTTAGTCCTAGTTTAAACCTGGTTTAGACCTGCTTTAGTCCTGTTTTAGTCCTAGTTTAGACCTGGTTTAGACCTGGTTTTAGTTCTAGTTTAGTCCTGGTTTTAGTTTTGGTTTTAGTCCTGGTTTAGTCCTGGTTTTAGTCCTGGTTTTAGTTCTAGTTTAGTTCTGGTTTAGTCCTGGTTTTAGTCCTTGTTTAGTCCTTGGTTAGTCCTGCTTTTAGTTCTGGTTTAGTCCTGGTTTTAGTCCTGTTTAGTCCTTTTTAGTTCTGGTTTAGTCTGGTTTAGTCCTGGTTTTAGTCCTGGTTTAGTTCTGGTTTAGTCCTGAGTTTAGTCCTGGTTTTAGTCCTGGTTTAGTTCTGGTTTAGTCCTGGTTTAGTCCTGGTTTTAGTCCTAGTTTAAACCTGGTTTAGACCTGCTTTAGTCCTGTTTTAGTCCTGGTTTAGACCTGGTTTAGACCTGGTTTAGTTCTGGTTTAGTCCTGGTTTTAGTTCTAGTTTAGTCCTGGTTTTAGTTTTGGTTTTAGTCCTGGTTTTAGTCCTGGTTTTAGTCTGGTTTAGTTCTAGTTTAGTTCTGGTTTAGTCCTGGTTTTAGTCCTTGTTTAGTCCTTGGTTAGTCCTTGGTTAGTCCTGCTTTTAGTCCTGGTTTAGTTCTGGTTTAGTCCTGGTTTAGTCCTGGTTTAGTTCTGGTTTATTAGTCCTGGTTTTAGTCCTGGTTTAGTTCTGGTTTAGTCCTGGTTTAGTTCTGGTTTAGTCCTGGTTTTAGTCCTAGTTTTAGTCCTAATTTAGACCTGGTTTAGTCCTGGTTTTAGTCCTTTGGTTTAGTCCTAGTTTAGACCTGGTTTTTGTCTTGGTTTAGTTCTGGTTTTAGTTCTGTTTTAGTCTTGGTTTAGTCTTGGTTTAGTCCTGGTTTTAGTCCTTTGGTTTTACTCCTTTGATTTAGTCCTGGTTTAGTTCTGGTTTAGTCCTGGTTTAGTCCTGCTTTTAGTTTTCTCTCTTACACCAATATTCTATGTACAACTGAATTAAATAAACTAGTCAAAACTAAACCACAACAATAAACACAATCCAAAACGTTCTCTTTTCAATTCTAAACGACTAAAATCACTTAATTTCTTGTGACTTTGATCCATTTCACAAAACAAGTCGTGTCTTTGGCTGAAAACGAAGGCGACCTGAAGGTGTGAGAGCAGCAGGTGGCGCTAGAGCACATCTACATTTGCCTCTATCTGACTTCTATCGCTGTCATTCAAAGATACTCGGTTACATAAACTTTTAACATTATAATTCTCTAAATAAATTACAAATAGGCACATCTGTTTGAGTAAAATTGTTTCAGATTGAACTTTACAAAATGCACTTTGATTTTTAGGAGAAAATCTAAAATAGTCTATCATAAATAAACATGACACTGACTTACAGGTTTGATGTAATAATCAATGAAACAAAGTGACTAACGATCGTGTAATATTGAATAAATAAAAGTGCAAACCTGGACCACACCTGCGCACACTAAACTCTGTAGGCGTGTCCCGTTTTCTGACACTCTGACAATATTACGGCGATTTATGAGCCTGGGATTCTGG